ATCTTTCTTCTATCATTGACAGTCCCTCTAGGTTGTGGGCTGCTTGCCTGTGTTCCTGAGAAGCATCTACGGTACCAGTCTATAGAGTGTGTTTTCTTTAGTGAATTACCGGTATGTTTACCGGTAATAAACTTGCACTGTTTTATGTATATGTTTGATTACATACAGCCTTGTGACAGTTTTCCTGCATGTCATAAGCATTTGAATATAAATTAAAATGTTAAAATCAAATCTGATATTGTTTTACCTTTTATTTGGTGTGTGGAAGGTGTGCGGAAGAGGGGGTAGTCTTACACGGCGAGTATATAACAAACTCTGTATTTTGAGTGGAAATGTTAGGGGGTCGTCTTATACGCCCAGTCGTCTTATACGCCGGCAAATACGGTACTCTATTAAGGTTTGGTAGTCAAATCTTATTGCTAACTTTCCACTACAAAATTAGGGTCAAATAGAGATAAAAATATTACTTCTGATAACAGACTGGGAAAATGCAGCAGGATCTCTTCTACATTACTGTGAATGAAGATAACCTGAGTCCTAATGACAGCATCAAACATATCTACACAGCCAACCAGAGGCTGGGAAACTTGTAAGGAGTGGTAAAAATTTGTCCTGCTTACCAACTGGAAATAGTGAACCAAGTAAGGAGAGCCCATGGTCTTATACAGATGAAGAATTACTGTGTCCCTAGCCAACTTTCTCAGTGGTTAAAGTGTTGGCCCAAGGACTGAAGGGTTGCAGGTTAGATTCCAGTCAAGGGCACATACCTCAGTTTCAGGCTCAATCCCCAGTTTGGTTGGGGTGTGTGGTAGGGGGCAACTAATCGGTGTGGTCTCTCCCACATTGACGTTTCTTTCTGTGTGTCACCCCCTCCCTCCACTCTCTCTAAATATCAATGGAAAAAATATCCTCCGATGAGGATTAACAAAAAAGAAAAAAAAATTAGTGTGGCAAGAGAGTAAGAAAGGAGAAGAACCAATCTTGTTTTTCTGTTTTTGAGGGAGAAGTAACCCCCAATCAGTAGAGAATACATAATGAACAGATGCCATCCTTTCAGAATCTTAACTCTTCCATTAGTGTACAGGAAAAGGTTGAGAGAAGTGAAAGGAAGCTTCCTTCCCAGCATTTCTGTAAAAGGGTAAAGTGCTGTCCCCTTTTTTGCAGAAGAGGGAACAAAAAAAGGGAAATGAAGGAATTTCCTTCCACATCTTTCATCTTTAAAGTTTAATGTAAAGCACGAATTACCAGTTTCTCCATTTTCTGGAGTCTCCCGTCCAGTTTTGCTAGAACTCCGGCTGGTAGATTCTGGACTGGTAGCTCGAACAAACATCTTCCATTTTCCTTTTTTAGACATAAGTCTACGCATTCCATCTTGTGATGCCGGCTGGCTGATATCAGAACATGGACTAGACCCTGACACACTACCATCTCCTTCCTCCAAGGCTCGCAACTCTGCCTACAAAGAACATGAAAATAAAGTTAGTGCCATTAACTGTTAGTAACATTAAAACGTGTGAGAAGCCATGTGTTTTCTAAATTTAAATCCTTCGAGGACAGGAAGCATTTCTTCATGAGAATTGAATGTTCAAGGGCACATACCATATTCCACATTCAATTGTTACTCAATAAATGCTGACTCATGATTATAGTCAACAAATATGGATTTGAAGGAGATAGGTTCTAGAGATCCACTAATAGACAAAATTTGCAATACGTGTACAAAACAGACAAAGCTTAACTTTGCTAATCTCTCTTTATAATGTCAAGGAGATATTACTGTTATAACACGTTATGATTTTCCTTCATTCAGGGTAGTAGATGAAACCGTTCAAAGGAAATCAGGGTAGAAAAGATGGTGCTTTTTCCCCTTTTAAAAAAAAGCACATGAAATTATAGGTTCCTTATAATTCTTCTGTTCTTACAAAGTCCATTTAACATCAAAACATGATATGCCATGGCTGATAAGCAGACACTAACTTGTACTTTGTTGGATTAAAAAAAGTTAATTGCAAGAATTCACAATGCTTATTTGTTAAGAAGCTAAATAAAATATATTTTATTCACTGTATCTATTCTAAATCAGGAAAATCTCAGTCTTTATTGGTTGTCAACTACCAAAAAAACATCGTCAGGGACCAAAAGAACTACAATTCCATAATTCAAGTTTCTATTGCATAAGCTTAAACACAGCTAGATGAAGATAAGAAAAACAAAATCCCAGTGTGCTATAATTTACGCCCAATGACCCCAGAGTATAATAGTACTGAGGGAAGAAAATGCACCTTAGTTACAATTTCAAAGCTTACTTTTTTCCTTTCCAAAACGAGCTCCAGTTCAAGGGTATCTTGTTCCTCCTCCTCACTTTCTCCAGATTGAACAACACTGCAAAGATCCTCCTGAGAAGGGTCTTCCATATTGTCCAATACAGTTTCCTGTGGCTTTACTATTGTTGCTGTTTCTTCTGTTGTACTTGTTTCTTTCACTTCTGAAACTGGCTCAACTTCTTTACAAATTACTTTTCTTCTCCATCTCTCTTCCTCCTCTTTTATTCCCTCAGGCAATAAAGGAGCAAGCAGTGCTGCTGCCACCCCTTTTCTCTCTTCCTCACTATTTGAGAGAGCTTGAATTCCTTCATTTACTTCCTATAAAGAATAAAATAATTTCACTTTTCAAATAAATCTCACCTGAATATATGTAATTTTTCATGTAAAAAAATGACTGCATTTTTCAGTCATTGATTATTGAAAACCAACTTCCAACAGATAAGTATGTTTGTATAATTTTCCTTACATGTGCATCATGGAAACACTGCTATTTAGGAAGGCAACCTGAACTAGAACCTAGTTGTGGGTGGAACTCAAAACATATCCTTCCCCCATTCTCCCTATGTCAAAAGACAAACTAATAAGAAGCACAAGTAGATTTAAGGAAGGTCAAAGTTGTCAGCTCAACACATGACTGTATAACTATTCACCTTTCTCTTCCCTATGATGGGATAACCTCACATTTATTCTATAAAGGTGATTTAAAGGAAAACAAAACATTTCTAAAATGAATGATTATATTTAAAGTGTCTATTTCCTCCACTGGGATATTTACCTCCCCCCTGGAGTTGCAAATATTAAATTATTCCGAAAGTAATTTTTGGACACCCCCTTACTCCATTATGTAAAAATTCAACAAATTAAATTTCAACTCACACACTCTGCAAAATACAATATACTTTTCTTATTGATGAGGCTACAGAAATGCTCATTTCACTAGTTTTAATTAAGGTAACTGATCACTTTATTTTAAAAGACCTTCACAACTGTTAGAATGGCTATTAGCAAAAAATCAACAAAACCCTGTCAGGTGTGGCTCAGTTGGCTGGGCATCCTGTACACTGAAAAGTAGGAGGTGTGCAGGAAGCAGCCAATTGATGTTTTGCCCTCACATGGATATTTTTCTCTCTCTCCCTCTCCTTTCCTCTCTCTAAAAATAAAAAAACAAACTATTTAAAAAAAAAATCAAGTCAACAAGTGTTGGCAAGGATGTAAAGGGAACCCTGATACATGTTGACGGCATAGTAAATTAGTAGTCACTATGGAAAATAGCATTGAGGCTTGTCAAAAGATTAAAATCAAACTACCATACAGCCCAACAATCCTAGTTCTGGGTATTTATCTGAAGAAAATAAAAATGATAATCCAAGAAGATATATGCACTCTAATGTTCACTGCAGCATTATTTACAGTAACAATGATATGGGAGAAATTTAGGTGTCTATCGATAGATGAATAAACATGCAGTATACATATAAAATGGAATATTACTTAGCCATAAAAAGGAAGGAAATCTTGTCATTTGTGACAACATGGATGGCTAAGTGAAATAAGTCAGAGGACAAATACTATCACTAATGACTTATATGAAATTAAAAAAAAAAACAGATTCGGAAATACAGAGAACAAACTGATAGTTGCAAGGGGGGCTCCTTAAATATAAATAAGTCAAAGGGATACAAGATACAACATGACGAATATAGTCAATAATATCGTAATAACTTTGTATGATGACAGATGTTTAATAAACTTATTGTGATGATCATGTTGTAAGGTGTATAATTGTCGAATCACTATGCTGTACACCTGGAACTAATACAATATTGTATTGGCAACTATACTTATGTGGAATCCCAAAATAAAACTATTCTGAAGTGAAGAAGGGGACTGAAGCTATGGCTACTGGCTGCTCCCACATCTTTTAAAATGACCCAAGGAGCCACAATGGCACCCTAAAGCTCCAAAAGAATCAATGAACTTGTTTAACTCTCATAAATGCCACATAATAAACAGAAACAGATTAAGTAAAATTTTAAGAAAGAGGATTTATCTTATTACTCATCTGTGTTGTAAAATACTAACAGAAGGCCTGGTTGGTGTTGCTCCAATGGTTGAGCATTGACCTATGAACCAGGAGGTCATGTTTTGATTCCTGGTCAGGGCACATGCCTGGGTTGCAGGAGGTAGCTGATCAATGATTCTCATCACTCATGTTCCTCTCTCCCTCCCCTCTCTGAAATATCTATATAAAAGCCTAAGTGACTGTCCCACCGTTCACCCAGTAGCTATGACATGCAATGACCATCAGGGGGCAGGCACTTTGACCAATAGAGGAGGGAGCCTTATGCTTCATGGAATGGGCTGTGTGTTAGGTTGCTGCTGGGGCACTGTAGGCCCTGAATCTGCTTCACCTGCACCCCAGACCCATTGGAGGATGTTGGAGGCCTGGTGCTCATGTACCGGTGGGGATGCCTGGCCTGCGCCCTCTTGCAATCTGGGACCCCTCGGGGGATGTCAGCTGGTTTTGGCCCAATCCCCACAGGCCAGGCTGAGGGACCCCACTGGTGCATGAATCCGTGCACTGTGCCTATAGTATATCTATATATATAAAATGCCAGTAACCTTAACAGCACTAACGACCAGTCGCTATGACGCCCACTGTGGCACAATCAGGGGGTGGGGCCGGCCGGCCAACCTTGCAGCCCCTCCCCCCAGCCAGCTGGACTCTCCCACCCAAATCAAGAGCGGGGTGGCTGGCCAAATGCCCCCTCCAACTCCCCCATACTAGCCCCACCCCCTATCAGCCAGCCTCACCAGGATAGGCCCACAGCCCCTCCCCCTGGCCGTCCTGCCCCGGAATGCCCCCACCCCAATTTCCTGCAGCCCCTCCCCCTGGCCGTCCTGCCCCGGAATGCCCCCACCCCAATTTCCTGCAGCCCCTCCCCCTGGCCGTCCTGCCCCGGAATGCCCCCACCCCAATTTCCTGCAGCCCCTCCCCCTGGCCGTCCTGCCCCGGAATGCCCCCACCCCAATTTCCTGCAGCCCCTCTCCCCTGATCAGCACCCCCACCCCATTCAGGGGCAGGGCCGGCTGGCCCACTGCCCACAACCCCTCCCCATGGCTGGCCCCGCTCCCAATCGGCCCCCTAACCCTAACCGGGGGCAGGGCTCACCATCCAATCGCCCATGGCCCCTTACCCCAGCTGGCCCAACCCTGATTGGGCCCCGATCGGGGGGACTGGCCCGCCAACCTCCTACCATCTCCTCCTCCCAACAGGCCCAGCTCTGATCCGCCATGATTGGAGCTGGGTGGCCAGACCCCGCCCTTGCATGAATTTGTGCACTGGGCCTCTAGAGTGAGTGTGTGTGTGTGTGTGTGTGTGTGTGTGTATATATTTATTTTTTTTTACAAATTCTTTTTTTAAAATATATTTTATTGATTTTTTACAGAGAGGGAGAGGGATAGAGAGTCAGAAACATCAGTGAGAGAGAAACATCGACCAGCTGCCTCCTGCACACCTCCCACTGGGGATGTGCCCGCAACCAGGTACATGCCCTTGACCGGAATCGAACCTGGGACCCTTCAGTTTGCAGGCCGATGCTCCATCCACTGAGCCAAACCGGTTTTGGCGCCTCTAGTATATATTAACAGAAGTCCTCTCTACCTGTGCCACAGTAACATTCAAATTCTTTAGATATGGCCCAGCCAGCATGGCTCAGTGGTTGAGCATCCAACCTGGAACCAAGAGGTCACCGGTATTCCCAGTCAGGGCACATGCTCATGTAGCAAGCTTGATCCCCAGTAGGGGGCATGTGGGGGGCAGCCAATGGATGATGCTCCTCTCTCACCAATGTTTCTATCTCTCTATCCCTCTCCTTTCCTCTCAAAAAAAATAAAATAAAAAAAATCTTTAGATTTGAAAATATGCAAATGGGTAAGTTGTAACACTGACCTTTTTAACTTCTCGCTTGGCTATGACTGGTCCACTTTTACTACTGGCAACAGAAATATTTTTCTCCTTGTTATACATGTCTGTATTCACCACAAAATTAGTTTCAGTACCTGTTATTGGACTTAAAAGAAAAAGAAAGGCAATTATCATTAAAAGATAAAGACTTAAATTTCCTTCTAAGGTAATTTCTTTTTCAAGGTATTCCTACCTGGGTTGGTAATGTTGTAATCCCTGTACCTGGGTGGCAAGATACGGGGGTAATTCCCATGTCACTTCATTTGTTTGTGTGTTCCAATAATAATAGCATCCTGTGTTCTCATCCCAGACTTCTTGCCAATCTCCCATCTCAATCTCAACTATAAGAAAATAAAACAAATTTTAAGAAGCACAAATTACTCCACAATTCCGACTTATAACCCGTCACCTCTAAAGCCCTAACAATCTAACACAGGATTTCTCAGCCTTAGCACTGGGACATGATAGTGGGTGGGTATCGGGAGAGGCAGTCCTATGTAGCGTTTGGCAGCATCCTGGCCTCTACCCACTAGATGCAGTAACACTCCCCCCACCTGTTGTGACAACCAAAACTGTCTCTAGACACTGTCAAATGTCTCCGGGGAGGCAACTCCCCACACCCCATCATTTTGGCACCTGTTTTAAAAAAGCAGTTTGATAGTGCAAAAACATATTCTGAACCCCAAAGGACTTTTTAAAATAATGACTTCAATCATTCACTTGGCAAAATCTGCTACTGGTTAAAAGGGCAAGCAATTGCCCTAGTTGGTTTTGCTCAGTGGATAGAATGTCAGTGCAGACTGAAGGATCCTAGGTTTGATTCTGATCAAGGCACATGTTTCTATCTCTCTATCCCTCTTCCTTCCTCACTGAAATCAATAAAAATGTATTTTTTTTAAAAAGGGGGCAAGCAATTACCTTTCAAAAAATAAAAAATGTGTTCTAATAATTCTCAGAGGTAACTACCCTATCTTACTTATTTTTCAAAATACTACATTTAAAAGGCAGAATCCTAGTCTGGGGCTAAAGCACTTAGGTGCTCATCTTTCGGAATCTCAATGCCTAGAACACCTTTTATTGATTGCTCTTTAGACTTCTTTAAAAATCAAAGGATTGGTGTGCCCTTCCTTGTTTCACTGTCCTTAGTTTTAATAAACATATTCTCAAAATATATCTATATCAATATCTGTATCTATAAAATCAGCCCTAGCCAGGTTGGCTCAATAGGCAGAGCATCAGCCTGCAAACTGAAAGGTCCCAGGTTTAATTCTGGTCAAGGGCACATGCCTGGGTTTTGGGCTTCATCCCAATAGGGGGTGTGCAGGGGGCAGATGATCGATGTTTCTAACTCTATATCCCTCTCCCTTCCTCTATGTAAAAACATCAATAAAATATATTTTTA